TGTTAGTTTAGACTTTTAGGATATAAGTCATGCCGACTCCTATATTTTATGAGGATTGGATTAGTTTGGTAATTTAGAATTATAAACTCTTAATTCAAGATTTGGATGTTTATTTTAAAACTCCTAGACTTATCAAATTCAGTCCTTGCTAGGAGGAGGATCAGACTAGTGGTGTGGGACTTACCACCCTATCTTATAAACAAGGCGGCCCAATTAGCCCGCGTAGCATTCTCGAACCTAGTGTTTGAGCATCCCATATATTGGTTGAAACACATGTGGGCTTTTAAATTTCATATATTCAAATAGCTTAAAGAGTTTAATAAGCTTTACAAACTTGCATAAACTTTAAGTCAAAATTTAATATGGAATTTACATCGAGAAGCACATGCAAGATTTTGAAAATATGCATAATTAACTTGCTTATATAGACACCTTAATGCATATATAGCTCAAAAATATCTCAAATGATACTTATCTAAGTCTTAAGAGTGGATTCATATTTCGAAGTATTTCATTCGACTTAGGAGATCACCACAAAATTTTTATAAAATTTGAAGTCATTTAGAGCCTAAAATATTTCAAAAGTTCTATAATTTTAGGCTTAAAAAAAATAACCATCTAATCGCTAGCAGATATGTTGTGAATCCGGTGATGGTACATATTAATTCTTCATTTCAATAATTGAAAAAAACAATTGTATCTTAAATTTACCCCCAATTTATGATATTTAACATTTAAGTCAAACTTACAAGCTCCCAAATTATAATATTTAATATTTATATCAAGCTCAAACACCAATTTTTAGAATTTGGTATTCTATTTATATTTATCCCCCAAATTGCAGAATTTGATATTCAATTAAGTTTAGTCCCTCAATTCTTTCAATTTAAGTCATTTAAAGAAGTCAAACATTAAAAATCATTTGCAATCCTTGACATTCCAATTTCAAACATTATTATTTTTATTATTGTTTAAAAAATCAAATAATTCAATATTAGGTCATTTTACAAGTTTGTGAAGTCCAAATCTTAAATATTTTTCAAGTTCACGATCGTCAGAAATTTCGGCATCCTCCTAGCATCATCCCCGGTTAGGAAACTGCATCAGGGTGTCTACCTGCCCAACTGTCTATAAGATGCGCTGGTCAACGTTGTGATACATTGCGACCGAAAGAAATCTTTTAATCCAGCGGTCTATAAGATGTGGGTGGGTCTTCACTATGTGCATAAAAATAAAGTGAACCCGATTTCTCTGGATTTATACACATACTTGAGAGGTAGCGACGTTGACGATAATTTGTGAGACAATGGATTTTAATTTTCAATGCAAATTTACTTTTCTACACCTTTTTTATATAATATATAACACAATATATATATATATATATAATATATATTATATGTTATATAATATTTAGGTTCAGTTGTATTCAGGGTAGGGAACAAGCGGGACAAAATTGATTTTGGAACTCTCCCAGGAATCAAGCAGAGAGAATAGGAATGTGGTTAGGGGCTTTTGAATAGTTGCTGAAGGATATAAGAAATATGAGTGTAAGATATTGTATACAGTGGAGTTACATAAGGTAAATCCTAGGCTAAGTGGTTGCGGGCCAAGTGCAGAACCAGCGGAGCAGAACACGAACATGTACAGTAAACTGAAGAAGAAGACGCCTCTGCAGTTTTCATTTCAGTGAGGAAATGGAATCAAGGGACATTGGAGTCGTGTGAGCCGAGAGATTCCTTCGTAGTCATCCATCTCGTCTTGTGTTTCCCGTAGCCCTAATTGCAGTATCATGAAGGCAGGGAGGCAGTGGGGTCGCGCGTAAGACAGGGACGAGCGGAACGAGGGTGCCGGCTGGGTCTCCCACATAGGCAAAGCAGGGAAGACAGAGGTCTTTGGTACAAATTTTTGGGGTCTTCTTGAGTCATGCTTCTGTTGTTGGTCTCCCCGCTAGCCGTAGACGCAAGACTTGCGAATAACAGGAAGAAGAATATTGGGGTTGCAACTGAAACTTCTGCATCGGTCTCGAGTGAGTCGCGTAAGAGAGAGGAGACAACCGGGCATTTCGAATGATTTCCTACATCGCGATCCCGCTGTTGCTTTCCTACCGGCAGGAGATAGGCAGGAGGGGGGGTTTGCGACGTCGACTTTGTTGGATCGCGCGTGGAGGGGTCACTCACGAACGGAGAGGAGACAGGGAATTTTGACTCCAATACAAAGAGAAAGAAGAGGATTGGACTTCACTCTTTTCGCTTTCCTACTTTCCCCCTTTCTTCTGTGTACCCCTGAAGCGTCCTTTTTTTTTTACGCTCCTTGCCTTCCAGGAACAGTTTTAAGGCCCAAAATGGGGAAAAATTATTCCCATCTACATCTTCGATCACCTCCGCCGTAGATCAAAAATTAAAAACGAGACCACCAAAATACATCTTTGCGGTACTCAACAGATGGAATTTTCCAAAATGATTTTTTTGTTTTTTATTTTTTTTTTACGGTCAACAATCCATAGACCTTTTCCATCAATCTTTATATGATCTCTCTCATTTGTTGTCTGATGCATACTTGAAGCATACTTGAAAACACTATCAGTGCTTCGCAAATCCTTTCTGGATTAGAACAACAAAATGCATCATATGGGAAAAATCTATGAGCCATCAAACTAGGCCTTTAATTTCATAGCTATCATATTTTTCATCACACTAATAATATTTAGGAAAAACACAAACTCTTAAGTGGAAGCGCCATCAAGGAGCAAAAATAATAAACACAAAAGATAATACCAAAGAAATTAACCAGTGCAATTAAACACCAAATTTTTTTTTATTTCTACTAAATTAAGCTAATGTTCAAGAAAGAACAGAGGTGATCTGATCCACAATAAGGATGCCCTTAACTAGACTAATAAAATAGACACCAGTAAATACTCATGCCTAAACCAAGTGCACAAAATCTCATAAAAAAAGAAAACAGCTAAATATTTCAGGATAAATAAAAAAGAAAATTTTTTGATAGATGATTTGTAAGAGGTTAAAATAGATAAAAAAAAAATTACTCGCTTAAAAAGTTCCTCAAAAAATATATTCTCATATATCTATTTAATGGCACAAAAACTCACACAATTATGCTTCTGATTCCTTAATTTGATACTCCACCAAAAAAAAAAAAAATTTTCTTCCTCTTTTTTTCTCTCCTACATTCTCTCTCTTCTTTAATTATGCTTTTGATTTCTAAACCAAATCATTCCTGAAATTCCACCACAACCTAGTAACCTATACAAAATATCTCCAACAAGCTTCTGCCCAGCCCTTCTCGCCTTATAAGTCTTATCTACCATCCAGAGGCCACTAGCCATCCCATGATAATGAAGAATAAGACTGAAACTTTTATATGCCTAAACCTATTTGCAAGTTGAAGCCCATTGTTTATATAGTTTTAGGTCCAACATGAATAACATGTTGGATCTAAATCAGCAAGCCTTGGATAGCAAGTGGATTTACAAAACCAAGTTCAATTCTGATGAGTTGATTGCTCGCTGTAAGGCTTCTCTCATGGCTAAATGTTCCATCAAGAATATGATATTGATTACAATAAGACACTTAGTCCTGTCGCTAAAATATCTAATATCCTTGTTTCCATAGAATTGGTCAATTTTGCAATAGGATGTTACCAACACTTTTCTTTATGATCACTTAACATGAGACCAGGCATATATAAGCACCTCCCAAATTTCATGATCCTCAATATCCATCACATATCTGCTTCTCATAGAAAGCTTTCCATGGTTTTAAGAATGTTGTTAGACAATGGTTTTCAGCTCAAATTATCTGCTCAGCCAATCCTTCTCTTCTTCTTTTTTGCCGTAAAGACAGCTACATGCATGCTCTTTTATGCGGAAATATTCTTCTAACTGGTAATAGCCCCACCACTATCTCTAATCTACAGAAGAATCTCAAACCAAATTTCCGCTATGCAACCTTGGTACCATTTTCATCTGCTCAAACGCCTACTTCAACATATGCGAGGAACCATTCCACATGGTCTGCCCATTTATCAAGATTATCTACAGCTTCAAGCTTATTCAAATTCTAATTGGGCAAGAGGTCACATTAATAGTAAATCTAACACTGGTTGTTGTATTTTTTTGGGCAAAACATTTGCTTCTTGGTGTGCAATAAAAAACAGAAAATAGTGGCAAGGCTGAGTGCTAAAGCGGAATATAGAGCTATCATTGCAGCTGCTATTAAAATTCTGTGGTTTCAACATACTCACAGTTTTTGACATTTCTCCACAACCACCCAATCCACTTTACTATGATAATATTTCTGCACCAGCTCTTGCAAACAATCATGTGTTCGTACTCGAACAAAGCACATTGAGATTGAATATTACACATTTGTGATTGCATTCAGTGTAAGGATCTTCTTGTGCTACTCTGGACCAATTGGCGGACATTTTAACCGAACCTCATTCCGCCAAATGGTTCACCATCTTGCTGAACAACCCATGCTACCGGCTTTCAACCTATCTCTACTGATATGACATAAAAGAAGGTACTTTTAGATCCGAAACAGACTGGAACTATGATACAAAATTATCCAAGGGACAAACTGTCAAAACAAATTCTCAAACATGATTTTACATCAGAAGTAACCAATTATTTGTTATTTTCCTAGCAAACCAATTGTTAAAATTTTATGCATACTCTAATAAATTATTAAGTCAAAACACTACCACATTTCACCAAATCCATCAGAATAATTACGCAAAGGAAAAACGTAGATATCAAGCGAAGGAAACACTTGGAAGAGATCCAACAGAAGAGAAATAAACATTCTCAAAAACCTAATAAAAAATATTTAACTCTTGATATCTGAGGATGTTCTGGACACATCGAACTGTAAAATTAAATAAAATACTACACTAAAAAAGAAATTGAAGTGATTAGTCATAAAGACGGAAGAAAATTTCAAATAAAGAAGCCTTTATGTACGGGAAGTAATTACCAGCTTAAGTGCTCCACAAAGTTGAGGAACAGTTAACTTCAGCTCCTCATTCCAAACTGGATTCAAATTACTTTGTTTTACTGAAGTCCGAACCTTCTGCATGGGCCAAAAAAACCCACCAAAAAAGCAACTTGAAGAGAGGAAACTATCAAAGAATACATATTAATTGATCCAATATTGAAGAAACAAATCTAAATTAATCCCCATCTCTAGAAATAAATCTAATCTTTATCTTTAGATCAAATATTGAAGAAAAAATAGTCGACCTGCTGCCCAAGTGCTAAAACAACATAAGGATCACTGGATCTGAAGTCCCTAATAGCCAAATCTATTCCTCTAACCACTTTGACCTTCAAAGTTCCAACAGATATTGATGCATCTGCCTGCATTCATTACAAATCTTCTGCTTATTGGTTTTGAAATTTTAAGTAATTCAAACGGGAAGAACAGTTGGCATTACTGACAGCATTTCTTGAAGTGGCTGGACTGTAGAATGAATCTAAATCTACTCCAGAAGCACAAGACTTGAAGGAGCTCTTGGAAGAAACCATCCGCAAGCTTGGTTTCAAAAATTCTTGGAATTCGTACTTAGATCTATGGATAAAACAATATCATGAGCATCCATCTCATGGAATTACTACGCAGGAAATTTAAATATCAAACCTGATAAACTTTGTGCGCTCCTCAATGCTTGCATTTGGTTTAGGTTTTGAAATTCCTTTAGGAATATAAGCCTCATAGATTGCATTGGCAGAAGAGTTTCCACCAACCTCAAACATCGAGTCAATGTCTTCCTCAGACCACTCATCCAAAGTCACAGACAAGACCTGGATAAGATCAACAATTATAGTTAAAAAAGTTAGAGTGATACTCTAAAATTGTAATTTTCACCGAACCAGTGTATTTTATTGAAGAGAAGGGGAAAACAAAATAAAAATAATAATAATCATGTTATATTGCATCACAAAAGTAAATAATTCAGTCATAAATAAAACGTAAGGTATCTTAGGTGAGAAATAATTAAGATTACCTTGGAAATATCAGAGCTAAGATTTCTGTGAATGCTACAGCATTTTAAGCATAAAAAAACCCCAATATTAGCTGACCTGCACAGGTACAAAATCTGTATTCAGCCATATATATATTTTAATGCAAGGCGGGTTGTCTACCTCAAATCTTAATCTTGTGTCATTTTATATTTCAACATCATTTAATGTGTAATATTTTGGTCAATATCCATATTTGATTTTAAGATAATTAGTAGTGATTAAATGACATTTATTATCATAAATAATTTGATTTTTTATTTATTTGCACAAGTATAATTGTGTCATTTTGAACAAGGCCACTATCTAAGGCCATGAAATTCAGATGGTTCAATAGAAGGCACACAAAAACATATATATATTTTAATGCAAGGCGGGTTGTCTACCTCAAATCTTAATATAATACACAGATTAACCCAAAAAATCAAATTTTTGTGTGCTTTCTATTGCCATGGGATTCCAATCACAATTGTGCCTGATTAGGATGAAAGCGTTACTTTTAGACGCTGGAGAAAAATGAAAGAAGGTTTGGGTATGAGGTTGGATTTCAATAATATATTTCATTCTCAAATAGACAGCTATTTAGAGCGAATCATTTGGATATTAAAAGTTTTATTCAAGAGCTTGAATTCTTAACCAAGGACCTAGCTAGGAGGATTGCATCCCTTGGTAGACTTTGCCTACAACAATAATTTTCAATCAAGTATCAACATATCACCATGCAAAGCTGGAAGAAAATGCAGATCACTTTTGTGTTGATTTGAGATTTTTGAGGAGACTCTTAAAACCTCAATCAGTTGATCAAGCCATCAAAAAGATTCATGGAATGCCTGTGTAAATTCAGGAGCATCAGAGAAGACACTTTGACGTTAAGCATAGAGAAATTGAGCTCAATGTTGGAGATTATATATTTCTTAAGGTTTTACCTATGCATGGAGTTACAAGGCTCAATAGGAGTGGAAAGGTTCATCCAAGGTGATTGGAGCGCTGGTAGAGTCTCATACTGATTAGCTCTTCCTTCGAGATTGGCTACACATATGATGATTCTCAAATTATTCAATTTAAGCCATTGTTGATTCAAGAATATATGGCCTATAAATAGGCATGAAGTGCATTTTAAGCAGGAGGTTCAACTTTTTATCGTCAACCAATTACATCTGTCAAGTTAGTATGGAACAACCCATCAGAGCAGAACCTCTGCTTGATAAAATTTAGTGAATCCTAATTAAATTTGGATTTTCATATCATTTATCTTAAGTAATTGTTATTTATTAAAGGATAAATATATACTTCTTTGAAAGAGGTATTATCATTAATGTTTATAATAGATTTCTAGATATAAGTAGGTTGTCATGTCGTTGAAATTCTATTACTTATCGTTTATATGTTAGTGGATCTCACTTTTATGTTCATAATAAAATAGTAAGTCACATGGGCAACTTTGTCTTGATTTATAGGTGCATGAATTCCAATATTCCTAAAGTTATAACACTTGCATTTCATATGCGCCTTCTTAGTTGAATGCAATAGACTTTATTCATTTAACACATGTTTAATTCTATAAATAGTATTGATCTTATTATTTATAAAATACTTATTATGAGTTTACTGATAAAAAAATAAAATTGTATACTTGTAGGAAGTGGAGTGTAATCGGTAAAACCTTGTATATTGGCTAGTCAGGCTAACGAGCACAAAGAATGATAACTCTATAGAAAATTATTGAATTTCTTTGGTTTAATGTTTACTTACCAGATTTACGGTTTTAACAATAAATATGTAAATTGATTTAATATGAATGATAATGATTGATGAGTCATATTTTGAGATATGTAACTATATTTGATATGATTGCATATAAAAATATTATAATAAAATTACATAATTATATTTTATCAAAAAAAAAGATCATGAACATCATTTTACTAAAATCATTTTGAAACATGTGATACATTTCACTTATGCATTGTAATATTATTGAAACTTGATGATAATTTAATGCCACTTATAACTTGCTAGTATATATAAGTAAATCATGCCTCCTGAGTCGACATACGACATGGCTAGTGTCCTGTCCTTTATGCCATAATAAATAGTATTTACATGTTGAATTTGACTTATCAAACCTACTCATTATAATTTTTCCTATAACGGATTCTATCAAGTCACTTAGTGGATCATCATCTCAAAAATAAATTTTTTAACCACATGACCTTATTCGATATTGTTAATTTCATGTAGTTTTATTTGAAGTTGTTTCTTTCAATTTATTTTAGGTTGTGTTATTTTCGCAATTGTTTCTTTTATTTTCTTTTTCATTAGATGCTGATGACTTGCTTCTTTATTGAAGTGTTGTTAGAAATTTTGTTGATGAAAAAAAAAATTAACTTTGCTTGTTTTATTGTTTATACTTTTTATATACGAAAATTTCTTTTATGAGTACAAATGAGATTTTTTTATATCCATTCATCACATCCTATATTGTTGGGGTCGGGGGTTCCGCCTTCCGGACTTGGGATATGACAAATAAAGATTTCAAATTTCCTCTGCATGTTGCTCAATCTAATTTTTTAATGGCATCTGAAAGTGAGGTAGAAGCAAAAGACGTGACAAAAATGAAAGAAGAGGCTGAAGTTATAATAATCCAGAAAGAATTCAAAAAGCAAGGATCCTAGTTAAGTGTAAGAGAAACTAACAAAATCTGTAAGTAATATTATTGGTTAACTAAAGATGGCACAAATGAACAAATTGTGAGTAGTCAAAATGAAAATGTTGACATAGATTGTGGTGAGACTACACGGATAACATGCAAAATTGCTTTTTGAGAAAGTGTGGGGCTAGGTTCAATCATAGATTACATAGTTAAATGTCAATAAAAAAGGCAAAGCGCTATTAAGGATACAAAGGAAGCACAGCTAAGTTATTTTCATGATTACCACAAGGCACACAAAAAGCTTTCTTTTAATTAATGCTAGTCTCTAATTTGAAAGAAAAGAAAAGATAAAATTATTTTAATAGATTGATTGTTAAAAAGTAAATCAAAATTGAACAGTGAATGAGGATCCATAAAGCCAACCCATGTGGCTGGGATAGGAATAATAATGATGTTGTATGTGAATATAAACTATAAGTAGCCTTTAACTAAATATATCCAATTTAAAAGTGGTAGCTGAGGCAAATAGTCCATCTGCCCCAAAAAAGGCTATAGCACTTACGCCCATTTAGGATCTGGAGCATCACAATCAGCGCACACCTGGTTATCACTTTTCAGTAGTAACTCTTTCATTTTCTTAGAACTTCCTGTCAAAATGAAGAAACTTAGCTGAAAGTTATTGCAAATGTTAATCAAAATAAATAGTTACTAGAAAATAGAGTACATAAGGACACCATGAAGAATAAAGATTGAATATTTTCACATCACAGAAAAAATGCTTAGCATGAATCCTAAGGGCACAAATATGTGCTTTGTGGTGTGATCTTTTTGAATATCGATTCAAGTACAAGTTGGATAGAAAATAACAAAGAATAATTTTCTTTGTACATTTTGCCAAAGGCATATGCAAGTGAGAAAAAAATTCAGTCACAAAATAATTGTAGTGGAACTCAAAATAAGAAGTCAGCCATGTTGGCAAAACTGTCAAAACTTGTTTGGAAACTAATTGGACCACAAAACACGTCGTTACTTGAATAGTTACAAGGGCTATATGGTGGTTAGACGTGACAACGCACTGGGCCGCTTTGTCAGAAGTGACGAAGGCATACTATAAACAGACAATAAAATTGTGCATGTAAGGACATACACGTAATGCCAGATTAATATAGTGTTTTTTTATTAGAGAGGGAGGGGGTGGGGAGGGGGTGGGGAGAGGGAAGGGGGGAGAGGATGACTGGTAATGAGATTAAAAAATTGTTTGGTTTTAGAGAGAGCATGGAGCGCATGGAGGAAGAGAGTGCATGGAGGGAGAGAGTAGGATCGGTTATCTAAAGGGTATGAAGGTGATTACAGAGAGGAAGCTTTTTCAGAAAACATGGAGTTCTCTGGGAAAAACCTCAAGGAATGAAGGGTTGCTGGGATTGAAATTAGAGGAGAGGAAGTGATTGGAGATGACGCACATGAGTGAGGGTGAGGAAGGCATGTGGAAAGAGAGGAAATATGATTTTTGGAGAGATAAAAAGAGTTCCTGAATGGGAAAAGAGAAACCAAGAAGAGATAACACACAAAAATTTAGGAACAAAGAAATATTACAAAATCTTTATTTTGACAGCTTTCTGATTCCTTAGATGAAAATCTTAAATCTAAAAGAAATACAAACATGTGATAATTTAATAGCCTTCTACTATAAATAATGCACAGAAGTTTAAGAACACAAACACCATCTAATTGAAAATCACACATCATAGAAATCGAATTTGTATCAAACTTTACAAAAATTAATGATGCATGCAAAGAACAACAACAAAACTTCTCGGACTTAAGTTGACCCAAAACATTAAGCGAATGGGTACCACCATTAACAAATATGCAAAATAATTTATCTCACATCTTGATGAAAATAAAAAATCTAAAAGAAAAACAAACATGTGATAATATAAAAGGCTTCTGCTAGACATACTGCATACAAATTTAAGAACACAGAAACCATCTAATTGAAAATCACACATCATGGAAATTAAATTCTTACCACACTTCACAAAGATCAATGATGCATGCAAAAAGCAGCAAAACTTCTTGGACTTAACATCACCCAAAACACTAAGCCAATGCGTATCACCATTAGGAAATATGCAAAATAACTTATTACACATCTTACATATGGATTATTCTTTGTCACTCTTATTAGAGTCATCTAAACAATCTTTCTTTAAATAATCATCACTCCCCGTAAAAAAAATAGCTTTTATATATCATCACTAAGAGCATACCAAACCAAGGGGAGCTAGCATAAGGTCCTTCCTTTTGAAACTTGCTTATGAAGAGGCAAGATATTGAAAACCATAGAAATCACAAACTATACCAATCTCATAATAATTGCTGAGAACTATCAGTTCCAGTGCTGCTTGTTGAGAGGTGAATTAATGAGTCTTTTTGAGACTAATATCCTAGTGGGTGTGCATCCATTTAATAAGATAGTATCGATTGATGCAAAAAAATGAAAGGACATTTAGATATATAGCACACAATTCTTATGTATTTACATATCTTATACCTAAACTTTCATATTTACACACATAGCACTCAAATATTTACTATCACATAAAAAATAGTACTATTATCACTTTTTAAAAGTGAAAAGCACTTTTCATGCATATGTTTAAAACACCGAAGTGTTATGTATGTAAATATGAAAGTTTAGGTGTGAGATATGTAAATACATAAGAATTGTGTGCTACATATGTAAATTTCCCAATATGAAACACTCACACAAGCGCAAACAAACAGGCATCAACAAGATTTATAATCTGCACCTGAGTTTGATTTGTTGTATTCATAGTAGCGATTACTCTTCCATCCAGTTTGCAAATCTTTAAAATCAAGAGAAGCAAAGTCAATGACTTTCAATAATTTTAATTTTCTAAAAAGTCATTAAATTTAAGAAAAAGCTTATTTAATAATACAGTTTAAAGGTAAGAGATGAGAATGACTTACTGTATTCATGATAACGATTGCCCGAGTTGGATTTACTGTAACGATTGCTCATTTTCCAACTTTTGGACCTTGATCATCAAAAGCGTTTATCTGCATTCCTCAATAAGACAAACAAAATAATTTAAAGAGTTGATATAATATTTAAGAAGTTGATATAAATGGATAATATATGAGAACGAGATGAGCAAACTATTCCTGATGAGGAATCAAAGCATGTTAATTCACCTAAAAAGTTAAATTTGAGACCATTGATACTTAACCTATATGGGCTATTTTGTTTAAATAGAAACTGAAAAGCAATTATATAGTAAAATTGCCAAAACTGAATACCAATAACCGGCAAGTTACATATTTGGTATTTTCGAAGGAACAATTTAATAAAAAATAAAAAATAAATATTAGACGATGACAGTGGTCAAAGAAATTTGCAGCCAGGCCTAATGGTAGCTAAAACGATTTGGGAAACTAACTCCATGTCTGAAGTCAGGAAAAAATACTAGCTAAAATAAATTACTCGAAGAAATATAAAAGCAGAAGAAACGAAACCTAGCAAATTCCGGATCAAAATAAATACTAGTCAACTAAAAATCCAAAATCCTGGAAAATGCCATCAGCAACTTTGTTCAATATTCGAAATCTCTTCACCCGATAAAGCCCGAACACTTATCATGTCCAAACTATTCAATCTAGCGAACAAAACACTTTGGTTCATCTCAAGCTCCACGTGAGCACATGAACAATGTAAAGAGCAGTCGTTGAAAGAGCCAATAATTTGTCAACAGAAAAGAAAAAAAAAAACATCAAGATAAGTTAGAGCTCCAATGCAGGAAATGTATAAATCACCAATATTAGCTATATTAATCCCAACAAGTTATAGAAAAATACATCCCGCGTTGACCTGTCCTGCCTCCAACTAAAGAAGACGACGGCGAATTTGAAACGTTTAAAATAAAAAGTTGGCAAAATAATGTTGCTCCACGGTGAAATCCCTCAACAATCCCTAAACCTAAAATGATCAACATAACCAATCCTCATAGCAAATCAAAAAACAAAGAAAAACAAAATAAAACTTATAATTGAAGGAAACATTAAAAGAACTCATCAAGAAGAAACGAATAACAAATTAGAAAACATACCGCGTGAGATAGAAGGAGATTTCGAACTGTGACAGGAATTTAATCAAAAAATTTCTGCTCAATCCCTATCGGATTTCAACTCTTGAAAGAGAAATTGATTCTCTCAGCGCGCTTCGGAGCCAATTCCGTCTTTCATCTGCTTTCCGAGCCGCGAAAGAAAGGTGAAGAAAATTTATAGGGGGGAGGTTCGGGTTTGGTTTTCTTAACAGGTTCGGGTAGGGATCCGATTACCCGTTAGTCAACGGTCGTATTTGGAAGAACTGTGCAGATTTTTCGGCACAGTAGGGTTACGTCTCACATGCGAGCATTGAATTTTTCAGCAATATGATTAAGAGATTCATACGGGCATATTTGGTTAGGAGTTAGTTGGATTAAAATTTATTCTGTGAATTTATTATTCAAGGGAATATTTAACGCTGATGTAAGATATTGGATATGCTCCCTTAATTTTTAGAATAAATTGAAACCTCATCATTAACTATTATAGAAAAATAATGTAATATGATTTGAGGTAGAGCTTAAAATCTATTTTTTAAATAAAGCACAGAGATAATAATGCACTTAAAATTTTTATTTTAACGCAGAATTGTGTACATGATTCTTGTCACCAGTTAAGCGTAAAAGTTATTATTTGGCTCTCACCTGTCAATTTGACAGAATTCTTTAGAGTTCCTAAATGTATTGCTTTTGAAATAATGACCCCTAAGAATTATATTAGGAAATAATTTATTTTTATAAAAAATTATCATGAATAAATTATTTTCTTAATATAATGAGATATTTCTTTTCCTATTTTATATTTATTTTATTGGATTAGAAATTATTTGTTTTCATATTTTATGTTATTTTTTATACTTCTAATAATTAATATGAATCAATTGTTGGAGATATCATGTGATATAGCTTTCTTTTCATATCATTTCTTTTTTTTTATTTTTTTTCCTATTATAGGATTTTTGTAAAGGTTATTTATACCCTCATTCATATCAAATGAGCATTCCACATTACTTTGAATTTCAACATGGTATCACAGAAAGGTTTCATACTCTAGCAACTGATCTTTGTTTGAGAATTGTGGAATTATTTAAAACAACGATTTTTTCTTCATCTCCAAATCCCTTCCATCTCTCCGTCGCCACCCTCATGGGTAGGGTTATCTGAGCACTGAGGAAGGGAGCGGGATCGGTTTTCAGATCCCACACCCACCATCGTAAGGCCGCCACTCGTTTCTGCAACCTCGACTTCAACGAGCGCAATGGATACCTCAAGGGTGTGGTTACCGACATCACCCACTATCCCGGTCGCAGACCTCCGCTCACTCGTGTAACCTTTCGCCACCCGTTCCGCTGCATGCACCTGAAGGAGCTCTTCGTTGCCACAGAAGGCATGTACATCGGCCATTTCTTGTACTGCGGTTGTAAGGCTTCTCTCATGGTTGGAAACGTTTTACCCCTCCACTTGATCCCATAGGGTGTCGTTGTATGCATTGTTGAGCACCATGTTGGCGATCACGATGTGCTCGCGAGGGCTTCGGGAGACTACACTATTGTTATCAGTCATAACCCTGATAACGAAAATTCTAAAATCAAGCTCCCATGTGGCGCTAAGAAGATAGTTCTCAACGGATGTCGAGGCATGATTGGTCAGGTCTCCGGTGATGGCAGAACGGAGAAGCCTCTCCACAAAGCCAACAAAGCTTACCACAAGTACAGGGTGAAGCGTAACTATTGGTCGAAGGTTTGCGGTGTCGCCATGAACCTTGTGGAGCATCCCCATAGAGGATGAAACCACCAGCATATTGGCCACACATCAACAGTTTGTCGCGATGCTCCGCTCAGGCAAAAGGTTTATCTCATTGCTGCCAGGAGAATGGGCCGCCTCCGGGGACAGGCTGTTGCCACTGCCGCCAATGCCAAAAAGGGTTCCTAGTTTCTCAGGATTCTCCTTCTCCGAGGTCTTTCAGAAAGTAGGATTCTCCTTCAGGTCTTTCAGAAAGTCGGGGGATATTAATCCACTTCTATACGGCTCTCAAGAAACCATGATAGCAAAGATGTTTTGGAGTTTGGTTAGACATCACCACAAACCATCAAAAAAAAAAAAAAAAAACTTCCTGCGTTGTATCCTCCTATTTCGGCACTAGTGATGGGGCTCCAACCAGGGCGACACCAGCGATGCCACCACGCTCCTCATCATCATCTCGTCGAAGATATCGTTGTCGTGGATCGAACAATGCCAACAAAATTCATCGCTGACCTTCCTCCTGCAACATTTTTCTTCCTTGCCAAACCGTCAGGGGGAGCTGTGTTTTCAGTTGGTCATTTCTTCTGCAGTATTTTTTTCCTCCCTGACCCAAGTGTCAGGGGGAGCTATGTTTCCAGCCGCGCTTTCTTTTGTTGCTTTCTCTGTCAGCCGAATTTACTGGGTGTGATTTACATGTTCTTTTTTCTGCAGCCAACGACAACCGCAGTCAACTAAAAGTTTGTTTTCCTGTATGTTGTCTGCAAAACTCAAAATTCAGTCAAATATGAATCTCTCTTCTACGCCGAAATATATGACAGACATAACTCAAAATTCAACTAAGTCTGAATCCAGCAAATTCAGTAAAGCCTGAATTCAACAAATAAATCCAAGTTTGAATCTCTCTTCTACGCCAAAACATATGACAGACAAAACTCAAAATTCAGTCAAGCATGAATCCAACAAATTCAACCAAGCTTGAATCTCTCTTCAACGTCGAAACATATGACAGAAAAAACTCAAAATTTAGCCAAGTCTGAATCTAGTAAATTCGATAATTTAAACGATCAATTTTTTCTTCGTTACTCAGCAAATTAGGAATTATTAACATACATTACAAACTTGAGATGAAGTGTTAAGAATTATAATAGAAAATAATTTATTCCTATAATAAGTTATGAGGAATAAATTATTTCCTTAATATAAGGAGATATTTCCTTTCATATTTTATATTTATTTCCTTAGATTATGAATTATTTGTTTTCATATTTTATGTTATTTTTATATCTCCTAATAATTAATATAAATTAATTATTTGAGATATTCAATGATATATTTTTCATTTCATATCATTTCCTTTTTATTATTTTTCTTATTATAGGATTCTTGTCAGGGTTATTTATAACCCATACATATCAAATGAAACATTACACATTATTCTGAATTTCAACAATATCTTATGTGAAATGCAAGATTAAGACTTAACATACATACTATTATGCTTCAAATGATTGATTTGGGCACGTTTGGAGTTAAATTGGAACACTTTTGGTGTTCATGGTTTGTCTTTTCGAGACGATTAGTTTGACAACAAATTTGTTAAATCAATTTTTGGTAAATTATAATTTAATTATTAAAAAATTAAATAAAAATTAGGATAAGAATCATGTTTTATTAAATAGATTTTTCAGTGTCATATAAATAATATAATTGTAAGTATTAAATGAAGGGTCAATGGTATTCTAAAAATGAATTTCAAGAAATGATTTAACTGAATGATTAAAATTTTGTATTAGCAGAAATAAAAAAAGTACATTTTTAATAATAATATAAATTTTAGGAATTTACACATATACAAGTAAGCGCTTCAAATCACTCGAGCTGTGCGCGGAAGCAAACCTACTTGTCCGACCAAGAGATGATGTTCGAGTTGAGCCAAAAAGGTCAAAGCCGACCGATCTACGAGATGGACCAAAGACGACTGGAAAGATACAAGAAAAGTCACTCAACTAGAAATGAAAGAAAGGGGTATCCGAGCCAACCATGTAGGGGTGTAAACGAGCCGAACACGAGCGAGCCATGCTTTGCTCATGTTCGGCTCGTTTATATTTCGAGCTCAAAAAGCGTGTTCATGTCGGCTCATTTGCTTAACGAGCCGAACACGAGCTGTTCACGAACAAAGAGTCCTTTTAACAACCCTAATCATGTACTCATAAGACATAAGACAATAAGGGTTTGAGCAAGATTTAAAAATTATTATTTATATTAAAACATCATTTGAATCTAATTTAATAATTTTTATTCTATTTTCTTAATCAATATTTTAATTGATTATAAATCTTTGTAGCATTGTAGTCAGATTTTTTTTAAAT